TATATAATATGTGCAGTTTTTGCTAGTTAGCTTACTTATTTATCAAGTTTTGTAAGTTTTGTAACTAAAAACTTTAACAAAACTCTACTTTTGTAGGTGGTGCCAAAATGTGCCAATTTGTGCCAAAGGAAAAAAAACGCCTAAGTATTTTTTTTACTAAAACCTCTGTAACTTTGTTATGTTTTACTTCAGCAGCACGAGGTTTTGCACAAGTAATGTCCATAAGTGGGTTCATGTTTTCCAAGCATTTTTAGCCTTATTCATTATACTTTTGAAAAGGTTATATACTGTATAATGCAGAAAAACCTCAGGCGAGGGTTAAAAAAGCTATTTTTTTCTATGTTCCATCCTCAGTATCTCTGAAACAAAAGCTTATGATGTGATACTTACACTCCTGATGAAATCTCCCAAATGTTAGCTTTATTTTGATATCAAGGGTATTTATATGGTGTTTTTAGGTGCTGAGATATACCCACTTACATTTGGGCATGCTTTTTCAAGCACAAACTTCAAGAAAACCCCTTGGGGCTTAAGAGGTTAAAAATTGCGTCAAAGATTCTGAACAAACATTAATCACAATAAATCTAATATATGAATCACAGTTAGAGGAAAAAGCAAAGTTCAAATAAGAAGACGGCCAATTTATTCAAACTATGTTGTAACAAGTAAAGGATATAATAACAGCTCATGATGACAAATGAATGTGAAAAYGTGGAAAATTTGTTGGAAAAGAGGCTCTATGTTTCTGTGGACAATAAATAAGGAACTGACCCCTGGGTGGACCTCAATTACAAGCGCCATAAAAGTCATTCTCCCAAAGATGATTACAAAAGCTGTTTCATCATTGTCCAGTTCCAGCTTAGCGCGCAGGACCTCGTGTTCACCCTAAATGTTAAACTGAAAGGCTCATAATGTTCAAAACATTTGTCTTCTTGCACAACCTGGGAAGTGTTTTTATTGTTTGGTACAAAAAACTAAAGTAGGACAGAGTTTTGGTTTGAATATCTCAAACAAAAGATAAAGGAAGATGCTGTGTTCACATATTTTTATTGTGTCACGTCCATCCTTCTCGATTCGTATTTGTTTTTATCATTTGGACACGACTGTGCTTTTCATCTCTTCCTTTTCACCTTGAACAAACCACCAGTTTCTGCAGTTTAAAAACCTGCTTTAAATGCTATCGTTTTTTTCTTTCTTTTTGGGATTATTCCACCGCTGACTTCCTTCTGTTGTTTAGGAAAGCTTTCGGGAACTTTTCCTGCTCTGTGTCTGTTTCAGGTCTGCAGCCTTGATGTGCTCGGCGTTTGAACAACAGTCGGCTTTGCTCGTCTCTCTGCGTCTGTGAAACCCAGATTCTGTCCTCGCCTGCCTGCCGAGTTCAGCTCGTTTATCTACAGACTCCATGAAATCTAAGCTCCACGCTGGTTCAGGCCCTGGCTTTTTGTCCTGATGACCTGACTGGTCACAGCCAGCCTGTATCAACACCAGTGGAGGAGCCAGACATTTTTCTCAGGGGTGGCCAGGTGGGGACCACCACTCACAAAGGGGTGGCCAGGAAAATTACATCAATTTTTCCCTGAAAGTTTTGTGTAGATCTGTGTGTTTTGGTCATTTCCTCATGTCTTTATACAGGCAGTGACGACCTTATAAACATGGGCGTCAGAACCATTTTAAAAGTGGGGGGACAGACTGTTGAGGGGCCTCCCCCAGAAAATTTTGAACGAAACAGATGCCCTTTCCAGCACTCTGGTGTATTTTACCAGGTTGTTTAACATACATTTACCTTCATAATAAACACTTGATTTAATAATAATTTCAGAGACAGATTCTTCATTAAGCTAGTTTCATTATCCTGTTTTTAAATTCACTGCTACAGCTGAGATAAGGTTAATTAATGTGATACAATTTATCATATCTAATGACTTTA